AATTACTTTAATTCTCTGCATAAATTTTCTACTTTCTATTTTTAAACTTATAGTGACTTTATGGAGTACCTAACAGTAAATTTAATTATCAGCCTATAATCAACCTAAATCAAAATGACCAATTAAGTTAATCAAAACAAACAGTTAAGTTAATCAAAACAACCAGTTACTAAAACAACCAGTTAATTTACTACAGTTAAGTTACTCAACTATTAAATATACTTAATATGTTCAAGACATCTGCAATAGTTAGCCATAGCAATGTTTCTATTTAAATATTATATGTTGTTAACACATAAAAAGCTTGTGACTAGAAATTAGTTTAATAAGTAGTTCAGAATAGAATATGAAAAATGCAATACCATTTTTTTTATATTTTTATTTCATTTATAGCAATACAAAGATAAAACAGTTTCTATGAATATGCAAGTTTCTTTTAGGAATTCATTTTAAAAAGAAACGTATTTAAACATGAGAATTTTTTTTCTTCTAAAATATTCTTGAATTTAAAACTTGAAATTTTGAAAAGTTTAAAACTATCCATTAAAAATTTAGCAGTTTTTAAATGTTTGCTTAAAGTATTTATAAATTTAATTGAATGAAAACTTTAGTGAAGTTTGTAATACTCAGGGGCAAAGTGTGGGTTGTTCCTAAAAATTTAACATAGATCTAATGACATTGACAATATCTGATTTAGAAGATATTGTTACAGTCTTCTTTGTCTGAAAATATATTTTTGAAGTTCATGCAGGTTGTTATTTTAATGTGATATTTTGTGTTCAGATAAATCCACTTTAATTGAATTTGAAAATATTCATTTTTTTAGTCTCAATAAGTAGTACATTTTGCACTTTTTTATTTCTTCTTTCAGTCTCAATATAGCGTGATAAGCGATGTAGTCCAAAATTTAATCTTGTATACTGATCCTAAAAAAAAAAAAGAAGATGAAAAGCTGGAGAAAATGAAATTTAAATTGCATTTGACTGCTGGTAAAGATCTGAAGTTGCATGTAACACAATTACAAACAAGAGTAAGGTATAATCTTTTGCTTAACTATTTAATTTATGTTGTATTATAAATTATATTATTTATTTTGTTATATTACTACAAACTCTAAACATTGCTAAATTTCATTAATGTTAGCTGTTAGAAGTTTTACCAAATTTAAACAGTACAAAAAACCAGATTTGGCTAAATAATTGATATTTTTGCTAAACAATTAATTAAATAATTGATATATTTACTACTTTATCTAATGTAAAATAAGCCATCCCTTTATTTTTTTGTTTTCTTCTTATATTGCCCTTCATTATTTATTTTTTCCATGTAAACTATTTATTAGAAAAGTTAGTATCTACTAAAGTTCTCTTCACTGTACTTGCTATTTTCTTACTCCTGATTCCTCTACCTCTACCTCCATGCTCTACCTCTATAAATATTTAATTTGTTCTTCTAATAAGGGCCTCTTATTTTTACACAAAAATAAAAATTGTAGTGTAAGCTTGAAACTCTGTCTCATTTTTGTAAGTTTTCCATCTCTCGTTTCTATACTACAATGATCGATGCTCAAGTAAGCTATCATTACTTGTTCCATCAATCAAAACTTAAAATATCTCATAACTTTTTATTCAATTAACTTTCTTCCTTTTATTGCTCCTTAATGCTCAAAAAATGTGTATTTGTCCAGTTTTTCTCCATTAACAGTGCATTAAAATCATATCTCATATTTGCTATTTCTTTGCATGTACAATTTACAGTTGCTTTAGTCTTCTGTCAACTGTTTCCTTTTTGACCACTTTCTTGTTCTTCAACTCTCTTCTTTTTGACCACTTTCTTGTTTTTCAACTCTTTTCTTTTCTTTATGTTAACGCAAAAAACGGTTTACAGCTTTGTTACTTATCACCTAAATAACTTATTTTTATAGCAATAATAATGTTATTTAATTAACTGCTTGAAAATTTTATTAGTCACCATGATGCTACTTTTAAAAATAATTTTTTAAATAATTATAAAGTTTTAAATTTTTTAAAGAATTGAAAAAAAATTTTTTTAGTTCCCCTTGTATCCATTGTCAATCACCATGATTTTTTACGTGATTGTACCTTAAGTTTGTTGCACGTGTTGTAAATAAGTTATGATAAATAGATTTGAATTAAAATCATTGTAGTTTATATATTTACACACTTGTTTACACACTTGTTTAATAACTATAATATTTTTAATAAAACTTAAAATGAAATTTGTTGTAAATGTGTTTGGTTTGAACAGGCGTACACAAATGATGCTGCGTATGTATGAAAGAAAACTTTTTGAATTCAAAAAACAAGAAGATGATTTTATGTCTAAAAAGTATGTTTCATTTTTTTAAATTAGAGTTAACATAAATTACAGAAGAAATTCTTAAAGAAGAAGTATTTGATTTAAATTTCAAGTCTTTAAATTTTTTATTTAGTTTTTTTTTTTTTTTATTTAGAGTTTTTTATTTAAAAAAAAAAACTGATAGAAGTTTGAATTCAAAGTTGGAAATTATAGAAAACTTGAATAGTAATTTTAAAAGCTGTTTATACTAATTGCTTTTAGTTTATATGGGAAGGGGGAAGAGATTATTATTTGATGATTTGTTATCTTCTCTAACTAAATTTTAGCCTGGAAAGTTCAAAAGAGTTCAGCGATGTTTTGCGTGATCTTCAAGACCAAATAAAAGATACTAAAGATCAACTCTTTGATGATGTTGAGGAACTTAAAATACTTATCAAGTATTTCTATTTTTTTTTAGAATACATGACGTTGAATACAGTTGAAATGTATGATGTTGAATATAGTTGAAATACATGACGTTGAATACAGTTGAAATATATGACGTTGATTCTTTGTGTTTAAAAAAGACAAAATTAAGTACATTTTATGTCAAAGCAATTAAATTTATTGGTTTTTAGAAAAGCCAAATTTATTGTTTTGTAAAAAGCGCAAATTAATAGGCTAGAATGTTTTTAAAAATATTGAAAATGTTTTTAAAAATATTGAAAATGTTTTTAAAAATATTGAAAATGTTTTTATTTTTAAAAAAAGTGCTCTGAATATTTTAATTTTTATTTTTTTATTGTAAATAATAAATTTAATTGACTTTTTGCCAGGTAACAACACCATTATAACTACACATTGCATTTTGGGATTGCCTGGGAGCAAACAAACTTTTAAATATATAATTCTTTGCAAAAATTCAACAACTCATTAGCCCAGATTACTATTCTTATTTGTATGAATATGTTATAATACTTCAGTAGATTTGTCAAAGTGGAAAGTAGGCAACTTAAAAACGTATTAATTATCAAGAGGTTTCCCGCTTGGTTTAGGGAGTACACATTAGCCATATTTGATTTGAGAAAAAGTTATTTTGGCAGAGGTTTTAAACCTACCATTGTTACCTACCATTGATAACCGTATCAATGAAATAAATAACAGTTGAAGAAGGAAGTTAGTTATTGACGATATTCTACATCTTCCATTTCCTGAAGACTTAAAAAGTAACTCGCAAAGTCAAAATTTTTCTAATGTGACATTAGAAGTCATTAAAGAATATGCCATTAATAAGAGTGCAATGAAGGCCTTTAGAGAAAGAAAAAACTTGCATTATTCCATATTTAGTTTGGGTATGTTTTTATGGTTCAGAGTATGTTTTTATTGCTAAGTGTTTGTGTATTGCAGGTTACAGTTTATTTTTTTTTATAACGTCTTCGCTTCCAACAAGGCTGCAAGCAACCACTAATTAGTGTTGGAAGTTACTGGAAGAAAAGGCGAAGATTGTAGAGCAAGATAACGATTGACAGACGACTTAAAAGATTGCAAATTCGCTTCCTTCATCTTGCTTTCCTGAGAATAGAATCCAGAGTAAGAAAGTGACGAGCTCGATAAAGAGAAGCAACTTTAGCAGATGCTAATTTTGCAATGGATTTGATAATTCTGTTTAATTAAGTTCATTCTGTAAGCATTTTTTCAGTTTATTGCATTACATTGAGAATGAAGTCAGGTTGAACCATAATAAAACATATACTGGCAAAAAACAACAATGGAATGTACGTGTTGAAAAGCGTCAAAAAATTCATGAACCATGTGATACTAATTCAGTTATTTTTAGGCCACCACATCCTGAAAATGGTGATTTAAACCTGGTCCTAGTAGAAATTTTTATGAACCTCATTCACAAACAGACATTGATGTCTCATATTCAGCTAAAGACTGGGAGAATATTGCTAAAGTTACCAATGGCTATACAAGTAATTTGCAGTTTAAAAGAACAAGTTTTTATACAATAGATATTGATTTTACAATTGTTACAGAATATTCTAAAACAATTGATGAAATAGTTTGTATAACTAATATGAATTTGTTTTACTATAAGTTAAGAACCTATCGAACAAATTCAAATATAAAAAAAATTTGCAATGTAATGTCAAGTTCTGTTAATTGGTTTAAATGGTGTAGAAATGGATACTTGTTCGATATGGTGTAGAAATGGACAGAAATGGTGTAGGAATGGATGTTGTAGAAATTACATCATCGGTATCTCATAAGGTAATTCAGAAAGTTAGTGGTAGGCAAGCAATAAAAAATACAACATCTTCTCTTAATTTATGTGTAAAGATTTGTGAACAAATTGAAACTATTTCCAGTAGTGCGTTATGGGGAAGAAGCAATGAAGAATTCACTGTCAAATGTTATGTTAGAAATAAAAAAAATTTATATAAAAATTTCAGTTGTAATATAGCAGGCTTAACAATGTTCTAAGTATCCTTTTCATAGTGCAAATGCACTATGAAATGCACTTTTTCATAGTGCAAATTGCATTTGCATGATGCAAATGCTATCACACTGTGAGCTGAACTTTTAAGGGTTCCCTAAATATTAAAAAAATACTAGTACTAGAAGCTACAAAATGTTTTAGTGATTGCAAGAATTTTAGTTGTTAGGATAAATAGTTACAGATCCAGGGTATATAAGCTCTTAAGGAACTAAGATAACGGTAATCTTTTTTTTATGAAAGTTGTACTTTTTTGATCAACATAACCACCCAAAAAAAGTTCCTCCATTTGTCTCTAGGAATAAATATAAGCTCTTTTATAATATATAACATCTACTTTAAGTAGATAACTGATAATAATAGATCATATATTAATTAAATCGCCCTGATAGAGTATTACTAGGGCCCTGCGAATCAGCAGTTTTTGTTTTTTTTCAAAGCAAGGTTTTGATTCACGATTCAAATCATGTTTCGAATCAACATTTTGAAGTTTAAATTTAAGCATTTCTTACTACTATAAATATGCCGGTTCTAGCTCATTTTCATTTTCATCCAAATTTTCAACCATATATTCAAAAAAAATATAGGGTTTATTTTCAAGCATATTGTGTATAAATATTTCAACTAAGAAATTTTTTTAAATTTATATAAATTTAAAAAAATTTCTTAGTTATAATATTTATACACGATATGCTTGAAAATGAATCCTATATTTAATTAAATATATGCTTGAAATTTTGGTTAAAAATGAAAATGAGCCAGAACCGGCATATTTATAGTAGTTTTCTTATTTAATAATATATAATTCAAAATAAAATAAAATAAAACAATTGTATAATCTCTTTATTGATGCTTCTTGCCCTGGTTAACCTTTTTAATGACTAATAAAAAAGGTATTTAAGGATAAGTAACATTATTTTGATAGCGCCTCAGCGCAGATTATCTAAAATACCACAAAAATAAAATAAGTAAGGATTCGTTTTTTTTTGAAAATTTTCGAATCATATTTTTGATTCAATTCAATTCAAAATTTCGAAGCTTCGCAGGGCCCTAGGTATTTCGCAAAAATTTTTCTTTCAAAATAATTTATATTTCTATAATTATTTTTCATTATATTAAAAGAATGTAATTATATATGTTTAATCATTTCCTGCAATGATTATGCATTGTTTTTTTAAATAAGTTTTTATACAAAATTTAAAATTAGGTTATGAGACTGTTTAACCAGATTTAAGCCTCCCAGTGGCTACTGGTATAATAGTAGCACTATCATCACATTAAAAGATTGTGCTTTTTTATTATTTTGCAACTACTATAATATTTTTAACCAAAGCAAAATAATAACTTTCTATTAAATTATGTAGATTACATATATGAAGGACTAGATAAACTTGTAAAAGTCTTGAGTCACACTATTGAATTTTATAAATATATATATATATATATTTAAATTGAAATTATTTTTTAGTTTTAGATGATATTTGCATTAAATAAAAAACCATACATCATAGAAACTAAAAATAAAGGTAAAAGTTGACACACCCTAATAACCCTGATATTGTATAAAAATTCTTTAAAATGTGGAAACTTGTAAGTTAGATACTTTGGCAAATAAGCAAAAATAACAAAAATTAATGTTTGTTAAAAAATATTTATAAAAAGTAATTAAATTTTAAATTGTATTGATGTCAAATAATGTTGATGTCAAATGCTAAATTTAGCATTTGACATCAGTTGTTAAATGGTAGATGGTGAGAACAAGGGCAAAATCAGGGGTCAAATGTGGCATTAGATATTTGGCATTCAATATCTGATCTTGTTCTTATTTCTGCTATTTGACTGCTGATTTTGTCCTTGTCACTGGGCATTTTAAACCGCACCCCTTATTTAAAAATGTGTGGGGTGTATTCTATCACGTTCTATGTGCTTGTAATGATACACTTCAGAGGAGAACACCCCTGGGCATTTGACACCTCATTATGTTTGCATACCTATAATGATAATAGTAGATGTAAAATAAATCAATGTGACAAAATAACCTGAAGATTAAAGCTTATTTGTCTATAAAACTGCAGATTTTCAAAATAAATGATATTTAATTGTGCAAGCAAAGATATTAAAATGTGAATATAAATAAAAAATTAATCAAACTTTATAAAAAATGTACCAGAAATTTAAGAGTAAAACCCAGGTCAATCATTCATTTATCCAGGTCAAAAATTCATTTTTTCAAGCTCATTTTGTCTATAAAGCTGCAGTTTTTCAAAATAAATGATATTTAATTGTGCAAGCAAAGATATTAAAATGCACATCTAACAAAAAATTAACCAAATTCTATACAATAGCACAATATTAACAAAAAAGTAAAGAGCAAACACAACAGCCTTTTATGTTTAGCTTTAACACGGCTAACAATATAAAAAAACATTTTCAGTTCAACAGCTAATTTACAATTTTATGACTTTGGGTAAAGAACGTGCTGCCTCCAGAGGTGGAAATTAACGAATTACAATTACTTGCGTTACTGTAATTGAGTAGTTATTTTGAGAATTTCTACTTTTTGAGTATTTTTTTAAATGGGTACTCTTACTTTTACTTGAGTACTTTTTTTCTAAAGTATTGTACTTCGCTACATTTGAAATCATATGCGTTACTGAGTAAAAAAAATTATTATGTATTATTTAATTTCACAAATACTATGA